GAGGGACAAGAGGAAAGTTGGACAATTCTTTTGAGGAGTCCTTTGAGGACATGGCAAGAAATCTGAGGCCAAGAGAGAGGCTTTTAAGCTGAGAGATATTACAATATGTTTTATGATAATGTTATCAATCGAGCAGGAGGGGAAAGTGACCCCACGTGACTTGTCTCTTGACAAGTCTGAGAGTAGGCAAGGGGGACCGGGGGCCAGGGTGTGAAGGGAGAGCCCTTTTATTTGGGGGCATCAACAGTTCATCCACAGGGCTGGGCTTGTGGCTCAGTGGCAGAGCACTTGCCTAGCATGTGTGAGGCACTGGGTTCGATCCTCAGGACCGCATAGAAATAAATAAAATAAAGGTATTATGTCCACCTACAGCTAAAAAAAAAAAATAAGAAATTTAAACCCAGTTCATCCATAAAGATGATGGGGTAGGTAGGCAGAGTATGTGGGTGAGCAGAGGTGTTTACAGGAGCCTGCAGATGGTCTTATCTGATGACTTCTGTTTCCTCAGTGACATAGGAAGCAATCTCATCAGTGAAGAGGGTGGATGAGGGAGGAGGTGTTAGAGATTCAAAGAGAGAGGAGAAAAAGTGTGAAATGCTTATCTAAAAGATTGGAAATGTAAAGGTCCATTTTATGATGGTTGTTAAGAATTTAAAGTGACACCATTCCATATGGTTTTGTGGGATTGTTTTGTTTTTTGTTTTTTCTCTTCTTCTTCTTCTTATCCAGATATGTATAGCTACTGGGGTACAAATCAGAGTAGGTAGAGAATTGGGCTTAACTGGGATTGAGTGGTCAGGTGAATAGGTCAGAGAGAGGAGAAGGGACTGGGGTGGGGTGCACACATGACATCATTATCATAGCAGTTTGGAATTTGATCCAGAAGAGAAGTGAGGTGATGAGGGACGTGAAGGACAGTGAGGTGCTAGTGTCACGTCTTAGAGACCACAGCAGAGTCAAAGAAGTGAAGTTAGCCAACTGTTCACGGAATGGAAGGATGCGCAAAGAGGGGGCACCTACACCTGAGATTTTTGAAGATGGTGGAGTTATTGGTAACAACAAGGCCAAGGTATGGCATTGGGAGTGAGGGTTGAAATGAGGTAGAAGATAAAAATCTTTGCAGGTGATGGCCCTGAGGTACTGAGATGCCAAGGTGCTGGTAGCACCAAAAATGATGACCCCAATAGGGCTGGAAAAACCATGAGTCAGGAGCCAAAATCTTCCACAAATGAGGGGCAGGGACAGAGAATGGAGGGGGAACACTTGCTTCAAAGAAGCCAGAGAACTTTCTGGAGCAAGGAGAAAGCAGCAATGAGAAGGGGGTTGTGTGGTTCATCTCCAGCCCTTGAAGTATGTAGGATTTGAGATTAAAAGAAAAATAAACACCTCTATTTAAGGGGGATTCTGAAACAGTGTTCTGAGGGTGAGACAGTTATAGTCTCCATACTCCAATAACAGACCTGGCCAGGATACTCTCAGGATAATAGTCATGGGTGTGCATTCACACACACACACACACACACACACACACACACAGGCCCTCCCCTCCTGATGGCAGATCTGGAGCAGTGGATTTCCAAACAAATTTAACACAGGTCTGAGAAGTAGGAAAGGGCTCAGGTGTTGGAAGACCCCCATCACCTGACTGCCACTCTCTCAATACCACCACCCGCCTGGGTCATTCACAGCTAGGAAAACTGAGCTCAGACAGTAAAGTGGTTCAACAGTAAGTGGCAGAGCCAGGAATGAGTCCTGTGGCTTTAGACTCTCCTCAACCCGGTGCTCAGACTCCCAGAGACAGATTTGTCTGGAGATACTTGGTGAAAATGCATGCTCCTGAGCCCCACTCCTGCAGACACAATTTGGCTGGTCCAGGCATGACCCAGGAATCAGCTTTTTAATGAGCTGATTTTTATTCTGACATAAATTTGGAGATGCTATAGATCACCACACTGCCCGCCCTATTGACTGACTTTGTACTTTTGAGAAAGTTTCCTCCATTTCCCAGTGTTGGGACTGAACACCATGACAATGACCCATTGCCCTGTGCTAGTTGCCCAATATCTCTATAGTGTGACATCTTAATAAAAAAAAACTGGAAACTCAATTTTCTAGCTAATGGATGGATTGAGAGTTAACATCAATACACCTCCTTGGGTTTGGAGGGGCTATAAATAAGGGCTACAGGTTCTGAGGAGACACCCATCCCATCTCCATCACTTACCAGCATAGAGTGAAGCCAAGTTATGTAGCTCCATTTGCCTATCTGTATAAAGTTATAATTCATATCTATCTTGTGAGGTTGTTGCAAAATTTGGAAATATTGTATGTAAAGGTTTATGGGTGATATTTGTAAAACTGGAATACGGTAGCTTCTGGTAATACAAATAAAATTAGCAGGAGTCATTGTTATTGGGACTTTCTAGTCTAGCTTTGGTCCTGCCATAAACCAGACGAGGAGATACGATTCTGAGTCCTGTCATGGCCAGCACCAGTGGGTTTTAGAGGACAGCCCCCTGCCAGGAGCTGCCCTTGGGAAAACTCAGTGAGGTGGTTCCAATCAATACATTAACATTTGCTTTGTCCTCGAGCCTCATGCCCATGTTGACACAAGTGGCCATTAGGGGACAATGAGCAGCAGCAAAAGTAATGGGCTGGAAGGAGGCGGCAGCATGTTGGATTTGGCTCTTGAGAAGATAGCGTTTTAATCAGTCACAGGTTGTCATTCACGTCTGGGTTAAAGTTGGGTTGAGATCAGGCACCTTATCACTCCTGAGACACCTCCCTCAGAAACACTGCAGATTCTGAACTCAACAAAGATGTAAAAAAAAAAAAAAAAATCACTCTCGAGATCTCAAAGGCTTCTCACTGACCCCCATAGGAAGAGCTGCCTTCAGCAGGAATTTTACTGCATGAATTATGTCATGGGGGGGGGCGGGGGGATATGTCATACCCTGTCCTCTAGAGAGGAGAGAAAGCCATATAACAGCACTGGATCAAGCTGACGGAGCAATCCTGAACTTGAATAAAAGTTCTGCCCTGGAATTGTAACTTAGAACCATTTCTTCTCCTTTCTCAAAGTGACCAAAATGCAGCCAGAGAGAAGCGCAGACTTGCTCTAGGCCCTGCCTACCTGTAAGATTCCCTAACTTGTTTATCACCAGCTTGAAAAGAAGAGCAATAAATGGTTACTTACATTATAATTTGTCCATATAGTGGGATAGTGGATGGTCATTAATGGTGCTGGTATTCCTGGTGTCATCGTGGAAAGATTAGACCATAACATATTATTAAGCAAATAGAAAAAAAAAGCAAGATATAAAACTAGTTAGCAGTAGTCCATTCTTAAAGGGGAAAAATTGCATGCATGTGCGCGCACATACAGTTTAACTCTACCCATCTCTAAGTTGGGGTTCTCTCAACTTTGACTACCAAAAAATGAGGCAAACTCATGTTTCCAGGAGGGGGTGATGGTATTTTCAATTCCCTTATTTATGACTTTCGGGTTAGCTCTCCAAGTTCTCTTCATTTAATATATATTGTTGGTATGATTTTTAAAACGTAAGAAAAGAAAAAAATAAGAATAATAAAATGGCAGCACCAGACAGACACCATGGTGCTCTTTGTAATGATTTTTTAAAAGGCAACACCTAAAAATCTAATGCAGGGAGAAAGTCAAATGAAATATGGCATATTCACAGAACGGAATAGTAACTGTCACTACATTTTCATTTTAAAGACTCTGTGACAACACGGGGAGGCAGATGATGCAGACAGATCCTCTCAACACTGTTCCAGCACTTTCCTTCCTGTCCAAGGTCTGAACGATTAAGGATTATGTTTTCCGTAGCCCATCATGGCTTGGGTCCCATAGGTGACCTTATTCTGATAAGCAGTTGTCTCTGTGGCTGCTGCTGCAGCTGCTACCAGATCTTAGTAGGTATATCCAGAAAGCCTAAGCTGGTACATGCTGCTCCATCCTGGGCTTCTGAAATAGACCTCTTTCTGCTTAAAATTAAAAGACACCAAGGAGGAAGGCTTGTTATCATATTTGTTTTCCTTCTAAAAAGGGAGGAACAGAAGGCGGGGTGGTGGCTCAGGCCTGTAATCCCAGCAGCTCCGGAAGCTGAGGCAGGAGCATTGCAAATTCAAGGCTGGTCTCAGCAACTTAGCGAGGTCCTAAGCATCTTAGCAAGACCTTACTCAAAATAAAAATAATAAAAAGGGGTGGAGATGTGGCTCAATGGTAAGTGTGCCCGTGGGTTCAATCCCTGGTACCAAAAAAAAAAAAAATGTGAAAAAACAAACCTCTCATTGTTCAAAAAGATTAAAAACCTTATACAGAAAAAAAGATCAGAAACCAATGAAAACAAATTGTGAGAGTGATTATTTGAGGTATTGAAATCATAGGAGAACTTTTCTCTTTTTTAATGTTTCTATAAGTTAAAAAATTATCCAATACGAGTGTCATTTACAATTCTTGGAAATTTAATTTTAGAGGAAGAAAGCAACTGTCTCTCGATTTTCTCCGTAGAACAAAGAGGATTTCATGGTCTCCTCACTGTACCTGTGTGTCCCAGGGAAGGGATGGGAGGCCCTGCCTGCCCCAGCCTCTCTTCCTCTCTTCTCTGATTCCTTTTTCCCCCCACTGTGTCTATTCTTCTTTTCTCTATTTAATATTGGCATTTGAGGACACATCTGGTCTCCCAGAGAGCTTCCTTCCTCCAAATCCTCCATCCGAGATTAAATAATAAATCACGAAAAGGGCAAATCATGGTGATCACACCAAGCATCATGATACACAACTGCAGACCTTTGGGCCCAAGATGAGTAACAAACTTGGTTTATTCTGTATCCCACATCCCTGAATAAAGCAAACCTGCCCCCTGTCCATCCCGAGCTGTCAAGTGGTGAGATAATATCAGGATTAAGTGAAGCGGCAAAGAGAGAAGCCTCTTCTGTCGCAAGATGCAGCTTCTGAGTGTTGCAGAACCTCTGAACTACAGCCTGCACCCATCCAGCCACCGCGACAGAGTGTCAGAAAACTGGCAGTTCCGGGTCCAGTTGAGCCTACAGAGAGGAAGGTCAGGGAGAGTGATCAGGAGGGAGGACTCCTTCAAGTCAGCGCTCAGGATCCCAGGGTTCCCACCCCAGCCCAGTCCGTTTATACTGCTTGCCTGGCCCCTGGAGACACGATACCCTGACATGAAGGCTGGTGTCCCAGGTCCATACCACTCTCACCTTGCAACTTAAGCCCCTGATGGTTTAGAGGGGCTTGAACCGTGAACCACAAAGTTCTCCTCAATCCTTCAAGGTAAGGATTAGCTTCTCTGAAATGAGCTTTAGAGAAGTTCTGACTGGTCACATGGTGTGTCCAGAACACTTGTCCTTGGGCCAGGCCCCCTTTCACCTTTCCGTGCACCTACTTCACTTCTTAAATACCTTTCAACTCCCCAATCCTCCTAGGACAAAGGAACTGAGTTTCTCCAATCTTTTTTTTTTTTTTCCTGGTGCCCCTAAGAGTTATTGCTCATTCTCCACCCAGTGCTAGCACCCAGCTACGGGCTGGGGAGGTACCAGCTTAGCTGCAGCGAACTCAGACAGACAGGCCTCCAGGGGTCTTCCAGGGTAGAGAGTCCCATCCTGGAAGAAGGGAACACATCCCCCTCTCCCCACTGTAGCTATAGAGAAGAGCAGAAAACACACACACACACACACACACACACACACACACAAACAAACATTTTCAGGAACACCAAGGGCTAAACAATGCTGAAGGGACTCCTGGGATATCCAGCTCTTGATCCACTTGCCCCCTGTCTGCCCTGACCTTGAAGAGTGGCCCCCATCTGAGCTTTGGGAAAGCCATGGCTGCCTATTAGCTTGATGAGAGGTCACTTCACCTGGAGCCTGAGCAAGTAAGGACCAGACACACAACAAAGATGACATTAGTTTGTTAGTGCTTACCCCAGAAGGTCAGCCACATTTACCAATTAATTGGAAAGTCAAGACCATGTATGAAAGGTGTTTCAAGCATTCAGGAAACAGTTAACTTTAATGAGGGGACATCCACTTTCATAGGCAATCTATTCAGTTAGCGGGTATAAATGGATTAATGGATAAATGGTGTTGAGACCAATGACTAATCATTTAAAAAAATATAAAGCTGGATCCCGGCTTTTTAATACCCAAATAAATTTCAAGGGGGCCCAAATTTTAAGCACAAAAACAAAAATTGTTAAAATTATATTTTTAATTTATTTTAAAACAATTCAATATAGGGCTTATTTTGTCTAGCATTGTCTAGCAATGGGCTCAATTTCTCTATAATCTTAAGAGTATGAAAGACCTTTCTAAGAAGGAAATGTCATATAAACCCAGAAGCTGCAAAAGAAAAGATTGAAGGATTTAAGTTTGTGAAATTATGAAACTCGTGTGAGTGAAAATACTATAAACAAAGTCAAAATACAAATAACAAACCTGAAAACAATGGTTCACACAGAGATGTCCCTAATTTACAGGACACAGAAAAGAGCAAATAAGAAGAAATTTGGAGGAACTTTCCTCCGGAAACAACATACTGCAGGATCCACAAGTAAATTTCATAAAACTGAACTCCTCCGTAAGATATATCCAGACATGACCTCTGGAAAAAACTAAAGAGATACTTTTAGAAAGAAAGACAGCAGTTTGAATTTTAAAAAGAAGATGGATAAGTTAACACAGAATTGCCAAGAAACTAAAAGTGAAGTAACCCAAATTAGACATGTATTTGTAGCAAAAAATCATGTAACTACATAGAAATGGAAAGGAACATTCTCAATTTAACTAAGAATAGCTCAGAAAATGTAAAACATCACATGTAATAAATTACAAAATATGAATTTCTTCCTTGTAAGATTGGGAACAAGACAAGATGCCACTATCCTCATATCTATTTAGCATTTTCTGGAGATTACAGCAAAAGCAATAAGTCAAGAAAAAGAAAAAAAGGTGTTGTAGAGTCAAGTGTGAAAGGCAAAGCAGTAAAACTCTTAGGGAAAAAAAAAGAGAATATCGTTATGACCAAAAAATACCTGTGACAATATGAACAAATATAATGTTGAGTAAGAGAATTCAGACACAGGCCCAACCATGAACATTTTAGAAGACTCTCCTGTGTAAATACCTGGCAAAAGGGGAAATTAAGAGATGCAGTTATTTTTGGCAACAAATATACAAGAGTTAGTTAATATGCTGAACTTTAAAGAGCTCTTTCAAATCAATATTGGTGTCTTGAGCTTTTTTTAAAAAAAGGGCAAAGGACAGGGACAGGGTAAATAAAAAATCACAAAAGAATATCACTATTTAAAAAAAACAGAAGGAAATACCTAATGGAGTATCATATATAGTGCCCCCCCCCAAAAAAAAGAATGATTGTTATTCACCTTTCAAATGGCAAAGGTTTTGTGATCAGTAAAGAGGCACTTGCTAAACTCTTTATAGATATGCAAATTGGTACAAGCTTGCTGGAGAGTCATTTCACAATACCTATCAGGAACCTCAAAAGTAAGCTTGGAATGGAATCACATTTGACCCAGTTATCCCACCCCTCCTCATACAATCAAAGCACTTAAAATCAGCATACTACACCGACCTGGCCACATCAATGTTTATAGCAGCTCAATTTACAACAGCTAAGCTATGGAACCAACCTAGGAGCCCTTCAACAGATGAATGGATAAAGAAAATGTGGTACATACACACAATGGAATATGACTTAGCCATAAAGAAGAATGAAATTATGACATTTGCCACAAATGGATGTAACTGGAGACTATCATTTTAAGTGAAATAAGCCAATGCCAAATGTTCTCACTGATATGTGGATGCTGACTCACAATAAGCTGGGAGTAGGAAGAAGTGGAGGTTCACCAGATTGGACAGGGGGAATTGGAGAGAAGAGAAGGGAAATGGGACTGGGAAAGACAGTAGAATGAATCAAACATTACTTTCTATGTTCATATATGAATACATGACCAGTGAAACTCTACATCACGTACAACCACAAGAAGGGGAAGTTATATTCCATGTATGTATGATATGTCAAAATACATTCTTATGCCATGTGTAACTAAAAAGAACAAAAATAATCTTAAAAATTGTTTAAAAGTACCTCAAAAGTATTCAAAAATCTTGTAAGAATTTATAAGAAAGAAATAATCAGGGATATACACAGAGAGTAATTTTAAAGAAAAATGAGAAATTATACCCCATCTGATTCAAATGTATGATATGTCAAGATCATTGTACTGTCATGTGTAACTAATTAAAACAAATTTTAAAAATATGGAAATAAAAAGAGAGAGTTATTTTAAGTATGTTCATCCTGGCATCCTATATAATCCTGAACGAGATTTGGGGAAAATCTTGAGGCAATTTGTCTGATAATTACTTTCTTTCCTTCTGTGGCCTTTGAGGTGGGTTGAGCAGTAGCCAAGACTTGGTTGAGCTCAAGATGAAAGGTAACGCATGAGAGTCATTAACAGGGGCATGTAAAGATCTGCCACTTACCATGCCCCCATTCCTTGTTTTCCTTTTACGATTTTCTTGACACACTCAATCGTCTTCTTTAAATCCGGATTCAGTAACTCTGCAGGAGAGAATACACTGGAATGACATCACACTACCCTGTGACGGCTAAGTCGGAATGACGTGGGGAAGGCAGGGAGGACTCACTAGAAAGGCTTCATGTAATTCTAAGAGTCAGTCTACTTCTAGATTCTTTTTTTTTTTTCAGGAAATACCAGAAGGTAGCAGAATGTTGTCATTTTTTAAAGCAAATCCATTAGGTTTTTTCCCTTATAATTTAGACAATTTGTCCATTAAAGATATACATATATGTCAGCTGTCCCATGAGAATCAGTGGAGAGACAGTGGCCGGCATGATAATACCATTTACCCCTCTTCATGGAACCTGCAGGCTGGAGGAGAGGAGAGTCAGAGGCAGCTGTAATCCATGGAGCTGGAAGGATGGGGCAGCTTGATGGGCAGGCAATTAACAGGGGCACGTGATTCAGACTTGAAGGGCCAGGGAAGGGCTATGGGACATCTAGGGGGGCAGGTAAGGAAAGGGGATTGAGAGAGTCACCAAAGGAAAATTGTTCCAGGCACAGGAAACAGCATGTGGGAGGGGCCAGTAATGCCTCTGAAGAAGCAACCTGTCTATGCACCAGTCCCTCCTTGAGGTGGAAGCCAAGACCTCCCACTTGGGATTTTGCAATACCTGTCTTCTCGCCCATCCTTCTAGTCTCCCCTTTCCCTGAACCAGGCTCATAGTTTTTTTCCTTAAACATCACTTCATCACTTGCCTCCAAGTTGCCTGTAAACCTGAACCCCAAGCCCCTGGCTTAGTCCAGTGGTGCCCAGCCCCCCTCTCCACTCCATAATCTTATCCCATCGCTTTCTACAACCCTACGTTCAGGACAGGCTGAGGGTGGGAGACTGACAGTGGCCTTCAGGAGTGTGCTCCACCCAGGAGACCCACAACTTAGGGATCGTGCCCCTTGTTCAGATCATCTCCCAACCCAGATCTGCTCATCCCAAACTGCAGTCCTTAAAAGTCTCCCTGGCCCACTAGCCCATGTGCCAGCTCCCCTCTTCTGAATAAACGCCACTTTGTCAGTGCTGGCCTATGGCATGTAGACAGACAGACAGTCAGGCAGGCAGACACACACCCTAATCTCAACTACCTCATCCCATCCTTGAAAAAAGGGAAGGTGTTGTTCCCAAGCCCCATGCCATAGGTGTGCCAGAAATGGTGCTCAGCGCTTGACATACACCGAAGCGCCTAAATGCTTCATGAGGTGGGTATTATTACCATCATCTCCATTTCACGGATAACTGAGGCTCAAATCACACAACTGTAAGAGGCAGAGCCAACCTTCTGAGTGGCCTCAAAGCCTGCGCTCCTTCTGTCCCCACCCTGCCTCCAGGCATAGGGCTCCTCTTGAACTGCCTGCAGTGCTTGGCACAGGCTCTTCTCCCTCTAGGTGGTGACTCGCTTGCTTGTGAATCCTAATCGGCTGTGGTTACAAATTCCCAGGGAAAACTGCTTCCCTCTCTGTCTAGAATGTCCTCACTTCCAGGACTTTATCCTGATAGTGCAGTCATCTGGCTTCGTGGCCTGGTGTGGAGGTCTCCAATGTACCTCCTTACCTGGGTGCACAGTGACCATTAAACCTATGCTTTAGGCAGCATCCGTCTCCCCAAAGAAAATAATAATGGTCAAGTGTGGGTGACATCAGGCCCACAGGGAACCCTCTGCTCCCGCCCTTCAGCCTTGGGTGGGCTCCAATGCCTCTGCACTCCTCTACACAGGAGCTTCTCTACCCGTGGGATGTGGGTCTCCATCTCTCCATCCCAGCTAGCTGCCTGACTCGCCTGGTCCTTTCTCACCGTCCACCCTGGCAGGGCAATGCCCAGCCTCCCCCTGGTGGATATGGCCTAACCCAGATCCCTCCTTCTGCCTCCTCCCAGCATGTAAACTCTGGTCATCGAGAAGGCCAACCTCCAAGTGTGACCCCGCAGCCCCCGGAGCACCAGCATGGAATGAAAAGAAGTGACCTACCAGAACAGGACACACCACAGAGATTCTTGCCATGGTCACACCACAGGTCCTCACGGATCTGAAAGAGGCCGAAGCCAGTGTGGCCAGTAATCTCATTCTCATACACAGCCGAGGGGTTGAACTTGCTCTCATAATAAGCCAGGCAAACCCCTAAGATGGAATAGAATGTGTGGTCTGAGGAGCTGGGGATACCTGGGCAGGGAATGGAGGGAAAGGAGGACAGAGGGGGATCGGGGATCCTACTCACAGTTTTCAAGTTTGTAACCTTCAAAATAATCCAGGCCTCCTCTGTAGAGCATATCAGCCACGGTGCAACGCCCCAAGACTCGAGCACCACTTGGAACCATGAGGTAGCCAAGGAGGAAGAGCATCACGGATGCCTTCATCTTCTCCAGGCTCCTGGCAGCCCAGCACAACAGAAGCCAAGAAAGTGGATGGAGTCTCAGGTAATTTCCTACCAAGATCACAAGGACATTGTTCCTCCAAGGAGAAGCAGGGCACTGTGCTGGGTGGAGAAAGGAGTATACAATTCGGTGTGTACAAAAATAAAAAATTCTCCTGACCTTCCCTTCCTCTATCCTGATTCCCTGCCTCGTGTCACTACAAGCCTGGGACACTTAAGGCTCTCTGCCTCTTCTCCTTATTTGACCCCCTGTTTTCTAAAGAAACTGCACCCTTGAAGTCTCCCCTCCTCCCTGATTCTTTCCCTCCAACAAACCCACTGTCTTCTTGGGCTGTGTCTCACTCCCTTCACTCCGACATCAGATACAGTGGCTTCTTTCTTCCCCTTTATGGAAAAAGTCATCAAACACAGTTTGGCAAACAGAAAAAGAGAAAAGAAGGTCATATATCCTGATTCCACCATTGGCACTCAAACACTTCTGCCATGTTGAATTTGTTTCGCGGATGCCTTTTAGCTCTAAATATGTCCCCAAGATGTGATCTTACTCTCTGCACAGTCTTTTCCCCAGATTTTTTTTTTTTTTTTTTTTTTTTTTTTGCAAACCAGACTCCACTGAGCTTTTTCCTGACTGTCTACAGAAGGAGACCCATCAAGATGCAGCCCAGACCCGTCCCTTATTAGCTGGGTAACTCTAGATGACTCACTGGCTTCTTAGGCCTTTGCTTCCTCACCTCCAAAAGGGGGTCATTTGTGGGGTGCCTTGGAGAATTGACTCTTTCTGGAGGCGGGTACTGAGGATTGAACTCAGGGGCGTTTGACCACTGAGCCACATCCCAGCCCTATTTTGTATTTTATTTAGAGATGGGGTCTCACTGAGTTGCTTAGCACCTCACTTTTGCTGAGGCTGCCTTTGAACTCATGATCCTCCTGCCTCATTCTCCCAATCTGCTGGGATTACAGATGTGCACCATAGTGTGTTCTCAAAACACATCACTTAGGTAACATTGCTGGTTCCCTCTTCCTTATCACACTTGTTTTTCCAAACCCTCTACCACCAGGATTTTCCCTGCCCACCCTCTATCAGGAGGAACCAATTCAGAAAACCCAGAATTCTCACTGTGCTCCTTCTTTGCACCTCCTGGCACCACTCCCCATTGGCCCTGCACCTGCCAGGTCTTACCTGGTGCCCTCATGCTTGGTTCTTCCCCATCCATACGGCCCTACCTTACTCTGCCTTTCCCTACCCAAATGTTTCCACCCCACATGCCTACTCCTTGAAGGCTGATGGATCTTTTGTGAAAGTTCCCTTTCTCCTCTGAGCCCCTATTTTCTTCAGTCCATTCTATGACATCTAGCAGATGACTGACCTGTTTTGTGTTGTGTCCCATTCCTCACACAAGATGTAATTGGAAGGCTGAGCGCAGTGGCACACGCCTGTAATACCAGCGGCTCAGGAGGCTGAGGCAGGAAGATCTCGAGTTCAAAGCCAGCCTCAGCAACAATGAGGTGCTAAGCAACTCAGTGAGAACTGTCTCTAAATAAAATACAAAATAGGGCTGGGGATGTGGCTCCGTGGTGGAGCACCCCTGAGATCAATCCCTGGTATCCAAAAAGAAAAAGAAATAGAAGCAATTGGAAACTCCCCCACGGCCCCTGACACTTTGTCAATGTCTATCAATTGGACAATCAGTTGCACATCCTGTTTGTCACTATCCAAAAACACGAGTGCATGCCTTTGGGTTGCATTTACCCACACAGGGGTCCTCAGCCTTGACACTTGCACTGGAAAATTCCTTGTTCTTGGGATGGACCTATGCATTGGAGTTCTTTAGGAGCACACCTGGCTTCCAGATGCCAGTAGCTCCCCTCCCTCAATGTGACAAACAAAATGTCCTCTGGGGGCTAAAATTGCTTCCTATGTAGAACAGGGAAATCTCCAATATGGGTAAAAGTGAGAAATAAGTACATTCATAAGCAACAAAAATTGTGCTTGCAACTATTTGCTTCAAGCTGCGTGGCTGGGTGCAGGCATGGTCACCACACCAGCTGCTGTCTGGAGGAGGGTCTGGCATTTGTGAGCCCAGACTTGGCACTCAGATTGCCTGGGGCCAAATTCCAGCTTTTCCTCTCAGCAATGAGGATGTCAGTTGATCTCAGACAAGTTCCTCAACCTCTCTGTGCCTTAATTTTCTCATGCATGACAGTTTAAAATAGTGCTTTCCTAATTGTGTTGAAGAGTAAATGAGTTAAATACACAGAGCACTAGATGTCCTGTGGACATTAGCTCTTTCTGAGCCCTGTTTGCACCCTGTGTTGTTAGTGAACTGAATTTCGATGCATGTGGGGAAGGCTGTTTGCATTTCCCAACAAAGCAAACAATATTTTCTGCCAATATTGTCTGTCTCCCACAAGGCAGGCCCCAACTCAACTCATAAAAGGCATGCTGAGCCCTCCCTCTTTCCTCTTCCCCAGCCGTCAATCCAAAAGCGAGTCTTGTGGTGTTCTTCCAAAACCTATCCACTTCTCACTATCCCTTCTGCCACCATCCTGGTCCGAACCACCACCATCTCTGACTAACTGAAGGTTTCCCAACTATACTCCTCCACCACGTTCTTCCTTCTTCCCCTAAATACCCATTCTCCAGGCAGCAGCTCAAAGTCCTTCTTAAAAACATGTACCCAGAGCCCAGCATGGTGGCACATGTAATCCCAGCTATTTAGGAGGTTGAGGCAGGAGGATGACAGGTAAGGCGAGCCTCAGAAACTTAACAAGACCCTGTCTCAAAATAAAATTAAGTCAGTGGTAGAATGTCCCTGGATTCAAACCCCCAGTACCAGGGATGGAGAGTAGGGTACATATATCCAATCATATTACTTAACTCCAATGGATTTCCCTGTATTTTAAACAGGATCAAAAAACTCTTCCACCTGGCTGACAAGCCCCTTCTTGATCTAACCCCCAAGCAGCTCTCCAGCCTGACTCCACACTACTCCCCATTGTTTGCCTTCACTCCACTTCCTGTCCTTGAACAGGCCGATCTCCTTCCACCACGGGTACTTTGCACCAGCTGTTCCTCCTGCCTAGAACATGATTCCTCCAACCACTACAAGGCTTGATTTTTCCTCGCCTGCTCTCAACTCAAATGAGTTCACCACTACTAAGAGAATTTCTAGACCCCTGCACCATCACAGAAGAAGGTTTCAATTTTCTCTGTGATGTTATGAGTAATGACCTTGTTCACTTGCCTGTTGCCTGTCTTCCATACCAGAGTGCAACAACCAGGAATGGAGACACCTGGTCTGTTTTGTTTTCTGTTTTATACCCAGAACTTATGGCCTAGTGCTCAGTGACTTTTCGTTGAATGAATGAATCCACAAATGACTCTTTCAAAGGAAACCGTCATCGGATGAGTATTAAGTGAATTTTCTGACAAGTGTCTCCTCTAGATGGGAATCATCTTACCTGACCCAGCTCTTGCCCACTATATACTCATTTACCACTAGTGTTTCCAAAGGCCCTCGGTGCCCCGAGCACGAGGGAAAGAGTAGACACTGCAGCAACTTTAATGTTGATTGCAGGGAATTCACTCTTCCTACATTGGTTCCCTGGAATTTTCAGATAGCACTTTCTTAATAATTCACCCAAGAGCATTTGAACCATTGGTCCTTCTTTATGACTGACTGTTCTAGAATTTTTTCTATGACCTCAGTTGCAATACATCAGAATATTCTAAAAGAAGAAGTCTGTCACCACCATATGTGTACGGGTTTTCAATTGCTGTGTAACAAACAACCAGGCTGAAACAACACAGGTCAATTATCTTGAAGTTCTGCCACCCAGAAGCCTAACATGGGTCTCACAATGCTAAAATCAAGGTGTGGGCAGGGTCAGGCTCCTTCCTGGCATCTCTAGGGAAGCACCCATTCTCTTGTTCATTGCATTGAATGGCAGAATAAAGTCCCTTGCAGCTGTAGGGCTGAGAGCCCTGTTTCCTTGCTGGCTGTCACCTGAGGGCCATGCATAGCTACTGGGAGCTATCTGCACTTCCTAACTTTGCTTCCTTTCCTCTGTCTTCAGAGTCAGCAAGAGTGGGCCTCTCTTCCGTCTACATGGCACCGGCTCATTCTTCTGACTTCTTGCCCACTCACAGGGACTCATTTAATTCCATTGGTCACCAGATTCCAAGATAATCTCTATATCTCAAGGACCTTAACCTCAACCACAAAGTCCCTTTTGCCAATAACTATTCAGAGGTTCTAGGGCTTAGGGCATGGACACTGTTGGGGAACCAGGGCTTCACCAGCTACAGGATTCTCCTGGGCCCCTACAAAACTCCTTCTGGGTGGAGCAAAGGAAGAAGCCTTTCTCACAGTGGGCCCATTGTCAAGGACATGCTCTTTTGGGGGCCTGGGTAACTTCATTTGTGACATGGGTGACCAGACTGGGTTATCTTTAAGATCCTCCAAGCTCCAGAAGTCAGGATATGTTGAGGTGATTAGGGGTAAATTGGCCTTTTGAAAGCCAAAAGTGCATCTTGGTGACTTAATTAATACTGGCAATTTGTTGATTGATTTAAATGATATAGTGAAGGATCCTAAGAGGAAAAACTTATTCTACATTTACTCCTTCAGCAAAGACTTTTTCATAATTCGCCTTTGTCAAGTATCTCAAAGAACTCTTCTTGGTTTTGATTATTACTGAAACTTTAGAGACCAACATGCATTTGTATGGGATGGTTGGTCCCCTTACCTTAAGTTTTATATTCCTACAGTTTTATATATACCTTAAGTTTTATATTCCTATAATTTACAGATTCGTACTGAGTACATCTCTACTTCCTTTAACCTTTCAACTGTATTTTCAAAAACTCACCAGTACTATTCATTTCACTACCTAGAACATTTTTCTATTTTATGTACTTTTTAAAGATAATCCTGAATGATTATGCTTTCCAGAAAAACTTTAGTCAAGAGGGATTCTTTC